ATGGTATAGCATTGCTTTCGCCCAGAGCGATGCTTGTGGGAGGATACGTTGGCCGCTGCATCTTTGGACTTGCTGTTGTTACCGCGCTTCCAGATGCGCCATCCAGTCGATGAATGTACACCAAAATCTTTGCAAACACGTTCCTCTTGATTTCGCGTTAGAGCACCATTTGTGCTTACTCTAAGCAGGTCTTGGTAAAGGAACATGAGCTGGTCATTGGTCAGGTTTATCTTGGTTTTTGTATGGCGACTTGTCATCGACGTAGCAAGTGCAGTTGTTCAAATAAAACTCCGCAAAAATATGACGAGAATCGTCTTGGTTCGTAGATTTCACCCAATCCAATAACTTTATTATCACGACATTTTATCACCTCCTGCACTTATTACCAGTCAGAGGTAGTGATTACTCCCTCTGTCCCACAATAATTGCGCGATTCAGAAAATGACGTACTCCTCCTCGAATAAAAATACAGTCACCTCAAGACATTATACTCGGTAAATATTTCACAAGGTGTACCAATTCAGCTGTCCAATCAAATCCATCAAAATACTTGTCTCAGAACCAATCAAAAGTCGGTATAGGCCAATTCCGGCAGTGCCTTTCGACACAGGAGGGGGGTTTACCTCGAGAACCCTCCTACCGAGCCTTACACCTTCACGCAATACCCACACCGCACACTCTTGTAGGTACTTATTCATCATTGCCCATACCTATTGGTTCTATTCCTACTTCGGCCATTGCAGAGATGAATCTTCCATCGCCTCAGTCGCTTAGGGCACTGCGCTCGAGCTCTCGGGCTAGCGTGTCGAGGCACCGCGCCTCTTCGACCTCCGCCGACACCGCTCGTTCCATGGCTACAGCATCCTGCGCGGCCAGCTTCTTCTTGCAAAGTGGTACACATCCGGCGGACACTGCACGTTTTGAGGTAGCTGTCCTTTGCGGGCCAGTTTTTCTAGCTCGTCAACCGACCTCGCTGACTTCTTTTGTTGTAGGGACTGAATCGCAGCAAAGAAGCCCAGGTCCAAGATATTGGTGTCCGGGGAGATTGGCGGCTGGGGAACGAGTGAGAAAACCCAACCTTTCTTGACGAATTCGTCGAAGGCGGCCTTGAGTTGCGTGTCCATGGGGGTGACGTGGGCCCGGGCATTGTCGTGCTGTAGCACCACCATCTTGTCGAGGTTTGGCCATTTTGCCGCAATCGAGGGTAGGACTTTCTCGAGAAGGAAGGCACGAAATACATCCTTTGTAACCGCGATTGACTTGGTTTCGTAGGTTCCAGCCGGGCGGTTGATGCTGGCGCGTTGAGCTGGTACTGACTCGACGAACGGTCACGTACCTATCTTGCCGTCCCACCACGTGCTGGTTTCGTCGATATATCGCGCTGAGGAATATAACCCGTGTATTGTACCTTTTGCTTTTACATGGTCGTTGTGGTTCGCGTTCCCCAGGAACGAGGTAGTACTTACGAATGGTCTTTGTAAGATAAAACCATTTCTCGTCCAGGTGCACGTAGTGTAGCATGTCCGACAGATGCATATGAGCCTTGATCATTGCCATGGCAAACTTGAGGCGACAGTATTTGTTAGCGTCCGTTAGGACTGGACGCATCGCATTGGAGTGGGCACGGAACAACCCGAGTTTCAAGTATCGGTGCAATGAACCACGACTTAATCCTATTAGATGCTTAGACGAAGTTGCATTTCCTGCCATACCAGTGTTTTCAGATATTTAACGAAGCGTTATTCGTTGTGCAAGAGGCACCTGCAGCAGCTTGACCTTAACTTGCTCGGCAGTGTAAGCTATTTTTCTGCCTGCTTTGCCTTTCTTTTTGTTTGCTACAGACACTTTCATGTTACCATGAGAGATGCCTTGGGCCTTGGCCAACGCAATGATTCGGCGTATAGTAGACACGTGACAATGGTACTTTGCAGCCAGCAACTGACTTGTACCTTAGGCAGCCGGGTGGGAAAGCCGTTGTTGCTTTGGAGCAGGACTTCCCGAAGGATGGCTTCGCGCTCCTCGTTCGTCAGGTCGGGCCGTGTTGATGACATTTTGAATGTGTGTCATTTCTGATGTATGCTTTATGTGGAAGTTTTTATGCTGCTTTTGACTCGGCAAATGACCCCCGTTTTTTAGATTCGTGCTTAAACTAACACACTTAGAAAGCTCTTGGCGCGCTCTGTGCAATGATCCAATCAGAGGTGCGATTGAAGATTTGAGGCGGCATATGCACAGCCTGAATTTGTCTTCAAAATTTAATTGTCAGTCATGTACACCCTCCTCAAACTCGCGCAATTCTTGTGGGACAGAGGGAATATTGTTTATGTGGGATCTCGAATATCAACTAAATTTGGTTTCGAACGTCATACCTCCTCTGCGTGTTTTTAGAAAGAACTGAAATTGTTTCTTG